GGATAATATTATTTTCAACAGAGGCAGTTGGGAGTAGTTTTGGTTTTGTCACCATAATAGTGTCACAACTGTGCACAATACAGTCACAAAACCTTACAGGTGTGTGCTGGGCTCCACTTTCATTACCTGCTGTCAGCATCGATTTGCTGGTAGCTGTTTATTTTTTTGTGACATTACATGGTGCACCTGCTATGAGATACAATGCTGGGATCTGAAATAGGTCCCAGTGTTTTCATTGAGCCTTACTGAACAGAAATAGGTTACAACACTTGTGCCGGACGACACTTTTTAGGGAAGAGTTCCCCCCCTCATTATTTTTGGATCAGAAAATAAAAAGGCCTATAGAAACATCACAGAGTAATTATTGTGAGGACTCTCTTGTTAATACATAGCACATATATTTAGTGAAAAAATAGATAAAGTAATCCAAAACAAATTAGAGTTGTTGCATAAACCATGAAATCAATGAAGGTTCAACCTAAATGGATGTAAACATTTTTCATTTGGTTGCATTAGCACATTAAATTATCTATGTAGCAGAGACAGAATTACTAAATCAACAGTATTAGCTACCGATGTGTTATTTATAGCCTGTAGCGTGTGCTGGGATGAGGCCAGATGGACAGCCCTGATCCTATTACCTCTGTTACTTCTCACTGTTGTGTGTCTGCCTCCAGACCCTACATTCCCACAGCAGACAGCACACATGGACTTTCTTCTGCTCATTAACACTGAACAGACCTCTGACTCCCCTGCCTATCCATTCATGAAACAGGACTGATCGCGGTTCATGGTATGTGACTCTAAAGCAGGACTTTGTTGATCTTAAATGTGGAGATTTGATACTTGGGCAATGTAACCAGTGGTTGGGATATTTGAATTTTTATATCATCATTATGTAAGTGCTATTTAACTATTCTGTCAGTTATCTGTCAGGTTTAAAATTAAAACAAGTGCATACCGAGGGATCAATTACAGTACTGATCAATGATTGGCTCTTGGTCACACTGGATCGCTCATGTGCAGCTCATTCATGTTTCACACACAGTGGCAGTTGGTTATTTGAACATGGCTCTACTTTATTGAGGGAAGTAGTGAGGTAGAAAGTGAGAGCAGGAATGTATTTAATCTATATTAAAAAAGTGCAACTGATTTGTTAAGCTTTAAAAGCTCTAATTTAGAAATTGAGAGACTAAATGGGTCTGAAAGTCACTAGAAAACTCAGAGAGGGCAGAAAAAAACCAACATTTAGTTGAGATAAAGGAAGACCTTGAAGTAGATATCACTGTACTGCATGTGGGGTAAGATTGATCGGAACTATTTCAACGACACATTATTTACAGATAAATTAGCAATTTTAAAATTAAACATTTTAATAGATGTCAGTTGTGCAATGGACAATAGCACACAAATGCTTTAAGTTTATGATTTATTGATTATGATATGATAAAAATACATTTAATTGCTACTAAATGGCTTTAATAGCTGTTTGTCATGAAGATGCTTTGGCTTTTTGTCACATGTGAGACATTACTATCCTCTCCCTGTTAAATATGAATAATGACTTCATTGTCTTGTTCCCTCTGTTTCATGCTGCTAATCTTTTTTTTTTGTTGTTAGACAGGAAGATGTGGTGAGATGAAGATTTTATCTCTATTAGGCTTTCTGGATGACAGTAGGGAAATGTGAGATTTTACAAAATGAAAAGAAAATATTTAAACGGTTTTGATGTAAATGTGTTTTTCTTGTATTTGGTCACATATGTCAATAGAAACAGTTTTGTTTCTGTTTGTATCATTCAACATTAATGTAGTGTAATTAATTAATTGATTTAGGTCTCTGGTGGCATTGGAATGTTTACAGTAATTCCAGTACTTTTTTCCATTAAACCCTGTCTCTCACATTCCCCTATCTTTGGCACATTTTGCAGCCTAGCAACCCAAGCGTGGATGTAAATTGGTCTAACACTATGAGTGTAACATGACTGCAACATAACACCAGCTGTTTTCTCTGTTCTGGTGTAGTGACAGGCATTGCCAAATTAGTGAGGCAACGACAAGCAAGTGTTGTGTGTGTGTCTCTCTCTCCAAGTGTGGAGAGTGCATGTTCTGTCTGCAACAACAAGTTAGGGTTTGTCACTTTGATCATGAAAGTTCAAATCCACTGATATTAATTTGATAGACATCCGTGACGGCAATAGCTCAGCAGTGGTGACATGCTGCTTATGAATGTCTTAAGGGTGACTTGGAGCATGGTGCTTGCCAAGAAGTGTTCATTTAAAACAGCATGAAACATTTTTTTTTATTAATTTGTATTTCAAAGAAGAGTCTGACCTACTGATTTTGACTAAACACTTAAGAAAACACAGTTTGGTCTTGAACTGAAGCATTTCGAACACATGTCAGTTAGAGTATTGAGTGCTGGCTTTTTGGATAACAGATGAAGGTAGATGAAAATAAGGCATGATGGGTCATTTACAAAACTGAATAACACTCAGGCTTTAAAAATGTGGATGCATTTTACTGACTAAATGTGCAATTGGTTAAATTTAATCGATTATAAAAAATTGTTGGCAACTTAATTACTAATCGATTAGTTGGTCTGTTATAATACACGGCACACACTGTGGCAACGTCTCGCATTTACATACAGTAATTATAGAAGGTCCCTTCAGTCGCTGGATGCAGAGATGAGGGTGAGGAGATGGTTAGTGCAAGGGCAGCGGGGATGGAATGTGCAGAGTAATGAAAAGAGAATAAGGATCATAGTTACTGTTAACAAGTTACAGGGTTGTTTTCATATCAAGAATTTGATAAATGGATACTTACCAACTAAGAATTAGGGCTTAAATTTTGCACACAAAACATTCAAAATGAATCATAATTATGCAGAGATCTTTGAAAGCCGATTGCAAGATTTTCTATCTTTCCTGGTTCACCATTTCTCCTGCACCTCTGCTCAAGAGTCTGGCTGCTTCCCCAGACAACAGCCCCTTTTTGTGACTGGCCAGCTGGTTTCCAAGTAACGTGCTGAGGTTTGATGTTAAAGAGCCATTTCTTTTCCCATGCTGGGGTAAAATCACCATCTGTCTCAGTGTCTGCTCTGATTTGAGTTGTCTCTTTTCTCGACTGACCTACACATGCCCCCCAAGAGTCCAGCATCACACCCTGAAGGTTTATACATTGCACATAAATACTATGTTGTTGTTTTTTTAATCATGCTTCAGCATCTTCTTGAATTAGAAGTGTTTAAGTAGATGTTAAGCCAAGACACTCTGACCTGTGGAGCAGCAGATACTAAATCAGCAAACATTTAACAAGTTAAATAATATATATGAGTATATGATGTAAAAACATATATAGTCAATCCTCAAATAGGGCCACCATACTTATTCTGTTTTCTTTGCTTGAATATCACTACCTCT